CCTAAAGCAAATCCTAACCATCCCTTTGTGGTATGGAAACTTGTAGTATAATTTCAGAGAGATCCATACACCGTTCCACAGTTATTGTCTGGAAACTAGAAAATGCTCATTTTTGGCCCCTTTTTGGCCCCTAATTCCTTAACTGTTGGTACCATAACCCCCAAAATCAATCCCAACCTTCCTTTTGTGGTATTTAACCTTATGGTCAAATTTCAAAATGATCCATTCACTTAAACTAAAGTTAGAGTGCGAAAACCAATATGTATTCGGACGACGACGCCGGACGACGACGCCGACGCCGGACGACGACGACGACGACGCCAACGTCATACCAATATACGACCTCAAAATTTTTTTGCGGTCGTATAAAAAGTAATTGTCTGTCGATTTTGGTCTTGTTGACAGATTTGTAAATCTTGTTTTGCTGATCATTTTTCCTATATAAAGCTTCTGTCCATCTACTATAATTTTCGAGATAATAGAGAAAAAATTTTAAAATGGTAAAATTCGTCATTTAAGGGCAATAACTCCAATAAGAAGTCGTCTGACAGTTTTGATGTAAATGGACAAAAGTTAGTGCTCATCATTCTGAACATTTTTGCCCTGTCAGAATTTCTCTATTTATAGCAGTTTCCAAAAATTATAGGCAAAATTTGCATTTTATCCCTATGCTCTATTTTTAGCCATGTCAGCCATCTTGATTTCCAGATAATTAGCAACTGCAACCTTGAATCCTTGTCATGACATTGAAGAAATGTACATATTCAAGCATCCATGCTTTAAGTGTTTCTCGTTATTTATATAGATTAGACTGTTGGTTTTCCTGTTTGAATTGTTTTACACTAGTCATTTTGGGGCCCTTTATAGCTTGCTGTTCTGTGTAAGCCAAGGCTCCGTGTTGAAGGCCGTACTTTGACCTATAACTGTTAACTTTTTATACATTGTGACTTGGATGGAGAGTTGTCTCGTTGGCACTCATACCACATCTTCTTATTCATATTTAATGTAAATGGGGGTCTAAATTAAAATCCATAGAAGTATTTTATAATTTGTCAAAATGTAGGTTATATTATGCTTTTTTCAAAAATATAATCAAAAGTATGGATCACAGGGCTTTTTTTCACCCTACAGATTGTGCAAAATTGTCAGATTTTGCATAGATTATGCATGAAAAACCCAATTTTGTGTGATAAAAAGAAAACTACACTATAGAATTTTAAGATAGAATATGAGAAGATAGCAGCTATAATATTATGCTTTTAGATAAGAAAAAGGATAAAATGGGGCAATCTGACTCGTTTTCTTGCTACATTATAAAATAGGTAAATTAAAACACATTCTAATATAAAAGTTACTTTATCTGAGTTATCTCCCCTTATGTGGCGAAGTTGGAAAAAAATGAATCAAACAAAAAAATTGTTTTTTTGTAAAATAGAGCTATAAAATATGATAAAATACATAATTTTCTGTATTAACATGAAAAGTCTTGCACATGAATTACATACTACTCTCGAAATTTGCACATTTCAATAAAGATCCAGACTGATTGTTATCTGCTTTTTCAAAATCCAAGATGGAGGAAGACACCCCAGCTACCTTATGAGCACAAACTTGGAAGTAACTGCAATATGTGGAGAGCAACACTTACAGTCAAGTTACTGTAAACTATTATGTTAACTATGACTTTTAAATCTTCTTTCTCATTAATTTATAATAAAATGCTCCGCAGGGCGCAGCTTGATACGACCGCAGAGGTCGAACCCTGAACAGTTGGGGGAAGTATGGACACAACATTCAAGCTTGATACAGCTTTGGATTTGGATTGTGATTAAATATTTGACACAGCATAGGTTTCTAACACAGATTGAATGTGGTCTAAGAACTTAAAAATTTTAAATTGGACATTCACCTATTATGGTCCAATATCCAAAATCTAAATACATGGTTAGATTCAGCATATCAAAGAACCCCAAGAATTCAATTTTTGATGAAATCAAACAAAGTTTAATTTTGGACCCTTTTGACCTCAATGTGGACAAAGTTGATAACGGGGCCCAAAAATCAAAAATCTAAATACATGGTTAGATTCAGCATATCAAAGAACCCCATATATTCAATTTTTGTTGAAATCAAACAAAGTTTAATTTTGGACCCCGATTTGGACCAACTTGAAAACTGGGCCCATAATCAAAAATCTAAATACATGTTTAGATTCAGCATATCAAAGAACCCTAAGAATTCAATTTTTGTTAAAATCAAACTAAGTTTAATTTTGGACCCTTTGGACCTTAATGTAGACCAATTTGAAAACGGAACCAAAAATTAAGAATCTAAATACACGGTTAGATTCGGCATATCAAAGAACCCCAATAATTCAATTTTTGATGAAATCAAACAAAGTTTAATTTTGGACCCTTTTGACCTCAATGTGGACAAAGTTGATAACGGGGCCCAAAAATCAAAAATCTAAATACATGGTTAGATTCAGCATATCAAAGAACCCCATATATTCAATTTTTGTTGAAATCAAACAAAGTTTAATTTTGGACCCCGATTTGGACCAACTTGAAAACTGGGCCCATAATCAAAAATCTAAATACATGTTTAGATTCAGCATATCAAAGAACCCTAAGAATTCAATTTTTGTTAAAATCAAACTAAGTTTAATTTTGGACCCTTTGGACCTTAATGTAGACCAATTTGAAAACGGAACCAAAATTTAAGAATCTAAATACACAGTTAGATTCGGCATATCAAAGAACCCCAATAATTCAATTTTTGATGAAATCAAACAAAGTTTAATTTTGGACCCTTTGGACCTCAATGTGGACCAATTTAAAAACGGGGCCCAAAATCCAAAAACTAAATACACGGTTAGATTCAGCATATTAAAGAACCCCATGAAATCAAGAATAAAACCCCATTGAAATTGGTCAAGAAATAAGCAATTTATAGGAAGTATCTTCTTTTGCACAATCCTGTGCTATTAAATATTTCTTGCTATTGCGCAATACTGTACAATTGACAATTTCTTGCTATTGCGCAATATTGTGCTATTGGATATTTCTTGCTATTGCGCAATACTGTGCAATTGAAGATTTCTTGCTATTGCGCAATACTGTGCAATTGAAGATTTCTTGCTATTGTGCAATACTGTGCAATTGAAAATTTCTTGCTATTGCACAATACTTATTATATAATAATTTACACATCCTGTTTGGTGTGTATCTCCTACCATATCATTATTATTTGATTTTAAATATAAATCAGAAATAACCAACTTAAAATGGAAAATTTTAAAAGAAACAAAAAAGGAAAAAAAGAAAAAAAAGGAAAAAAAAATAAATCCCCCCCCCAAAATTTTTTGAACCCCCATTATGATTCATCACCCCCAAACTCAATCCCAGCCTTCCCTTTGTGGTATGGTACCTTGCAGTACAATTTCAGAGAGATCCATACACTTGAACACAAGTTATTGTCTAGAAACTAGAAAAAAATGTGTTTTTTGGCCCCTTTTTGGCCCCAAATTCCTAAAAGTTTAGGGCAATTACCCCCAAACTCAAACCCAGCTTTCCCTTTGTGATATGGAACCTTGTAGTACAATTTCAGAAAGATCCATACACTTACACACAAGTTATTGTCATGAAACTAGAAAAATGCTTGTTTTTTGCCCCTTTTTTGGCCCCTAATTCCTAAAATTTGGAGGCAATTACCCCCAAAATCAATCCCAGCATTCCTTTAGTGATATGGAACCTTGTGGTACAATGTCAGAGAGATCCATACACTAACACACAAGTTATGTCTGGAAGTTACAAAAATGCTTATTTTTGGCCCCTAATTCCTTTACTGTTATTACCATAACCCCCAAAATCAATCTCAACCTTCCTTTTGTGGTATTGAACCTTGTGGTAAAATTTCATAAAGATCCATTCACTTAAACTAAAGTTAGAGTGCGAAAACCAATGTGTCTTCGGACGACGCCGGACGACGACGCCAACGTCATACCAATATACGACCACAAAAATTTTTTTGCGGTCGTATAAAAATAACCCTGGTAGTTTAATCAAATATCCCTTTGATTTAAGACTACCATTTCCACAACTTTTTTGTCTTTCAAAGGAAGCTTTGGAAACTTTAACCAAGTTCCTGCTCTATGTAAATTAATCTCATTCATATAGAAAGTAAACATTCTCTATTAAGCTCACCTATGAAAAGTGAACATCTATCCCAATCTTCCAAATAAACTCATCATAGATGTACGACAGTTAGTTATGAATAGTTTGGTTTGACAAGTTTCATTATATTTTTTCATATAATTCTTTTGAAATTTATTTCTGTACGTTTAAGCTGATATTCAAATTTCTATGATTTTAGATTGAAAGAATATGTTTTCCTTAAACTTATTTCATAGCTTTACTACTTTTTTAATTAATTTCAAAAAATATTTCAATTAATCTAGAAGTATTATTTTTAAACAAGATGTGTGGTAGAAGTAAATATGATACTAACCTAACAACACAAAAATTGAAGAAATCTAGTCTCTTTTTCTGATTTCTTGTGTACAGGATTGAATAAATTATAATTCTTATGTGCTTTTTTAGATGATTGTCAAGTAATTTTAACATTACTTTTGGTACTTAGCACCTGTATCTCGTGAGTTTTTCGTAACTTCTTACAACTTTCCAGTATGCACTTGATATGTTCTGTTTTTTTTTAATGTCAAAATTGCTGGTAACCAAACATTACCAGTTTAACTCTCATGGAAACAAGTACTGTAAATTCAGAAATTATTGTGTGCATTTATTATTGCAATGGTTAAACAGTCGACATAAATGCTAGTTTAATTATTGCGATTTCAGGAAATGCAGCATATAAATAATGTCATCAAAATTTATAATGCAAGGTTTTATTTTTTTACAGCTATCTCTTAGAAATGTTTGCAATAATAAAAGCATTGCAGACATTTCTGAATTTACAGTAACTAAAGCTTATAATTCTGATTCTTTCAAGTGATCTTTATTTATCTAAAAAGATCTATAAATGGTCTTCATTTCATCTCAATGTACATAAAATATAATTCTTGAACAAATTATTTCATAAATCATTAATAATTTAGCACTTCAGTCAATCTGTCCACCTTCATCTCCATTTTCAGTAATTTAAAATCTATGTTTTCTTGTGACCTGAAAAATAGAATAAATAAAAATGTCTAGTACTAAAAAAACATTTAAAAACAAAATTCTAATACCATTCAAGATTTATGTTCCTCCTCCAGTCTCCCCATAACATCAAATTGATATATTGTAATGAAGGTAAATAATGACTATGATGTAGATTCTTCAGATAGTAAAGCTATGGCATAGTATTGGCAGCACAAGCATATTAAGAGGATTATGTTGCCATAATTTCAATGAGACTCACTTTTTAAGAAATACACGGTGATGTATGGAGTAACAACATTAAATAAAACAACACATAAAAAATATTTGGAGAAGGATTACTGAAATTGAAAATGAATCTAACTAATGAAACATAATCTTGTTTGTTATCTACTACTGGTTAATCAAATTTCATTACATAGTCCTAAGAAAGGTTTTTGTTGACAGGTCAGTTTTCTAGTTTGATATTCAAATGAGTACTCATAGTGTACAACAAGGAAACATTTAACATTTTTTATATGTTCAAACATTTATGTTTACATACTAAGAGGTAAGTCCAATTTCCCCTAAATTTATTTCGCACATGGACCATTTTTTCTAAAAGTCATTCAATCTTTACTAAAAGTTACTGAATCATAGATTCATATATTTACTATTAGGATTTAACAACATTTTTGCATATTTCTAACATGTGACCAAATTATAAATGCCTAAAGATGATTCAAAACAGCAATTATTAAAGAATTTGGGAAAATTCGAGTAATCTTCCAAAAAATGTATAAGGACATTCTTAACCATAAACTGTTGACACAGAGATATATCTCGCCTGTCTGCATAAAATTCAGAAAAAGACAATCTGATGGAAAGCAACATTGCTAATAAATTCAAAGCTGCTGGAACATGCACTAGTGGGCAGGCCTTGAAATGGTTGACAAACTTAGATGTACAGACAGTAATGTACCTTAATAGAAAATATAGTTGTCTATTGTAAGTAGTTCCTATCAAACTAACTTAAGCAGAAAACATTAAAAATTGGTAATTACTTGAGTCACTGGACCATGACCTAAGGGTGCCCAGTGCAGGGTCATGAAATAGTCATCAAACTGATAGTAATGCAACTTTATAGAAAATATCATTGATCTATCACAAGTAGTTCCTATCAAACTAACTTAAGCAAAAAAAATTAACAATTATTGCTGCTGACAATGTTGAAGGAAAAGCAACTTCTATGTCTCGCAGACGAGACAAAAACCAAAATTACAATGGAAGTTTTTCTGTATATTGTTGTTCAGATTCAAATTGATTCATATTGGTTTACAATGTCTTTCCATGCAAAATTTTACAAAAACGTGAAAATTTGCAAAATTGTCAATAAAAAATGATAATGTGCAAATACTGTTTTCTTTCTTTTAAAATGTCATTCAATAATACATAGGTGCCTACATTTTATTTATCTTTGTCATCACCACTATCATCATCATCACTATCATCGTCATCATCATCGTCGTCGTCATCATCGTTATCTTCATCTGATTCAAATGTATCATCAGGAATATCATAAATTCTAATGACAGGCTACAAAATGCAATAAAACATTACATTAATATAAAGATTATTACAGTCAACATTTTAACCATCATAGAAGTTTTTAAATAAACTATAAAAAGAAACATATACATTTTTATCAAATAACTTTGTTATGTGACATTATAAAATGTGTTTGTATAATTTAATTCAAGAATTAGGTTGTAGAAAGTTTATGGAAGTTAGACATTGAACATTCTGCCTTCAAATTCATGATTTTCAGTTATTATTGTACACAATTGACAAGCCTAATATTATGCATATATGGTACTATGAAGGCAAATAAACCTCTACATATGCTACTTCTTACCTTGTTGGGATCTTTCATAATGAGATATTTGCCTTGTTTCAGTTTCATACATGTGTCTATGATGCATCTTAAAATACCCCAGGCATTGTCCATATTCAGATTTATCTGGTTAGCAAATTCTGTAGGTTTAAATTGTTGGGTTCCTAAGATTATATGTTTTGATGTATCTCTGATGCTCAACCGAGAAACATATCTGAAAATGAAAACATTTAATAATCATCAAATAATAATTCAGCAAAAATAGACCATAACAAAAACAGAATATAATTGAGCATTTTAACTGCAGTCTTGTATTAAAATAAATAAACAAGTCTCCATGAATTTAACATGACTTTTTCAGAGAGACTGAACTTTGAATCGGAGAAGGTTTGCTCTGGATAATAGACTTTCTTTTCCTTGGATACAAATGCTGGTAGCAAAATTGAATAGGGATGTATAGAATTGAACTGAAAAAGTACCTACCATTTTCTTGGCCATGTAACATTAACTTTTTGGATCTAATCCTCCTTCCACACAAATATTGGGTGGAAGAAGGATTTTATTTTTGCATCATTAATTTATATCCACAACTGTGGATTCATTATTATTTGTGGGAAAATAATTTAATCCACAGTATATAGAATGAGATAGGTCAGGATTGTATTTTTCATTATTTTTTGTTTGTTTTTTTTCATTAATACTAACATAGGCATATATTTAAAAATGTTAGATAAAATATAAATTTATAGAAAAATGAGAAGCCTTTGATGAAAATTACAAAAAAATGTTTAATGAATAAATGTGAAACAAACCCAAATTTAATTTGGTCAGATCCAGCTAACATTGAACACACTGTCCACTTTGCTAATTTACAGCTGTTATTTTTCAGCTCAGTAGCCAATACAGCACCACGTTGTGTGTCCAGTTTACTTCTCCAATCTACACCTCCACAATACTGTAAATGATATAATCAATAGAATAGTAGATCTTTGATGATGTGCAGTATTCATTGTCTATAAATATTTTCAAATCTAAAGGTTTAATGAAGTTACCTTTTTAAAAGGATAAGTCATTTCTAAACTTAAAATGTATAGCTTGACAAATTTTTTTATACCTAATTAAAATGCTTGCTCTGGTCTTTTGTATGTTTAGCCAAATAACATGATACAGCAGGATTTTTTTTAATTCAGCGACACAACCACATTAATTACTTTCAAGTTCAGGTAATCTGTGGAATATTTTTTTGGGGGTTAGGCGAAAGTTACATGAGGTGAAAAGATAATAAATTTTTTAATAATCACTTCTTAAAGGAAACTGAAAACATCTTTGTCTTTGAGTACTTGAGTGAGTGCTCCTCCCAGAAAATGAAAACACATTGGCAAGAACCTAAATCTTCACTAGAAACAAGAAAACTATGTATTAATTTCCAGGAAAATTTCATACACTAGTCTTCATTTTAAAAGAAATTATATTTAGTCCAAAAATGAACAAAATCTGAATCTTTTCTTGAGACTTGATTTTTCAATTGAATCCAGAAACAAAAATCTGTACCAAGAAACTTACCCGAGAGTCCCATTCATTTAGAGTTTTTATGTTGCAGAATTGTACTTCTCCTGATGTACCTGTCATTACAGCATCGTGTTCACATCGACATATCAACTCTATATCATTTCCTAATTTATAACATCTATACCTAAAAATGACAATAATATAAAATTTATACATGAAAATGTGTCAGTACATAAATGACTGATTGATTGGAACAAGTACAAGCCTTGAGAGGGACCAGTTTCAGGTATATTGGCCCTTAACTACAATGTATTTCAACATTTTTAGATAGCAGAATTTAAATATACAGAACCTATACTTCAAACAACATTTGATATATCAATGCTTTCCTTCTACAGGTCATATATCCATGGTACAGCAAAATGTTGAGATTTTACAAAATCTTGACTCTTGACATACAATTGCAGAAGTAAAAGGTACTCATATTAATTAATTGATTGTGGGTGGCAGCATTTTCTTAGAATTTTGTAGGAATTACATGCATCAGTGTCATGAAAATTTTATATTTTGGGTGATTCGGGTCTAAATAAAATCACCTCTCATTCATTTTATTCGGGAACAGCCCTAAATTTACCTTTTATACCAGTTGTAAAATGAACAAAAGTTTTTCCTAGTGAAGAAAACAAATTATCATGTTATTTATATGAAAATATCCAGATTTAAATAATTGTAAATTTCTGTACTGATTTTTTTTTCTGAATCATCCCTTCAGCAAGCTTAATTTTGTTTTAGAGTTAACCTACCTATAACCTACTGATGCTACATTTGCATCTTCATCAGTCTGTATAAATGGATTTGCATTCTCAAATTCATACTTCTCCTCTCCCTGTTAAACAGAATAAATACAAAAATTTATCCATTGACACGTAAAACAGTTAATAAGGACCAATTAAGTTAATATTTTTAACTTTTTATCTTTTGTCCTGGAGGGAAATATATGGAAATTTAAAATTAAATGAATAATTAGGAAACACAAAAATGTTTAGTAGTATGCTCTACATTGTGTTTCCTTATTTTCATTTTTTTTTCTTCAAATTTTTCATATTCTGGATGGACTGCCAGTTTAACATCCAGTGGCAAATATATGCATATTCAAATCGAGAACATGTTAATGTATTACGAATATGAACACTGTTTTGTGCTTAACAAATACACTTGAGTGAGATTTTTAACGTGCTACTTCACAAGGTAACAATTCGCAAGAAAGTCATGTCACAAGAACAGACACGTTATTCACTCTAACCTAATTTCTCTATGCTCTTCCTCCTTAATGCTGCATGCTTAGCTAAGAAGCAGCAAATACCAAATTAAGTCATGGTTTTGATCCGGCAGGGGTTACCCACAACTACCCCCAATAAAAGCAAGCACACTGCCACATTACCATAGTGGCGGGGTGTTATCCTTTTCTTATTCTAATCCTTATTCTTTTACAAAAAACTTATCATATTTTCCTTATGTTTTATAAAGGAATCATGCTACACATTTCATGATATCTAACATCTGTTTAATTGAAACTATTTCTAGACACATACCTGTTTTAAGACTTGTTGAGAAAAGTTATGATTGATAAAGGTAGCTTCTAATGCAAGGTTTCTTGGTGTATTTATACTATTGCCTTCATCTTGTGGGGGTTCAGTAGCAGTCTCACTAACAGATAATAAGTCAAATTCTGAGTCATCTCTTTTGTCAAAGAAGAGTTTCTTTCCTACTCTTTGTACTATAATATCCCAAGAATATGTAGATCTGGTACAACACATGAGGGTCGCCAGGATAGCATCTGTAGCAAATACATTACCCTTGGTCTTTGCCAACTGAAATTAGATTATTCAAATTTGTACCAGCTATATATCAATATTGTTTTTAATCGTAAATATTTTTCAAAAACAAAGCATATAGATGTTTTTTCTAATGAATATGATTATTGACTACTACTCTTTACTTTGTGTATAATTCTAATCTTAACAAAAGTATATTTATCAAATATTCTGATCTGATCCTGTAGACTCAGTTGAGTTACCTAATAACATAATTTATAAACTTGAGTTAAGTTTCAGGCAGTTCAAATTTTTTTTCCTTTTCAAACCACGGACGGATCCAAGATTTTTGAAAAGGGGGGGGGGGCTTAACTCCATAAAATGGATTATATACTGTGATCATAAGGGGGCATACCCCTATATGCCCCCTGGATCCGCCACTGCAAACAATTATTTGTTTCTAATTTTTCTACTGCTTTATATTACCTGTCTTATGATTGGATCATCAGTAGTAGTAACTTTATGGAAGATACGATCAATTCGTTTCAATTTTTTCTCATTCTTAGTTGTGACTCTATCGTAAACTTTGTCATAATATTCCATTTTACCACACTTAACCCTGTAAATATAAATTTTAATGGATTAGCCTTTAACAGGATAAGATAACTATTCTCACATTCACACAATAAAGGAAGTTTAGATAAACTTTTTTTTTACATTTAAATCAAAGGGACATAATTCAATTAAAATTGAAGTATATAGCACACATATTTATGTTTATATAAAAGAACAGAGTTCCAATGTCCCCTGCATTGCACATATTTTATCTATCCAAGGTTCAAGGGCAATAACTAAAAAAAACACTTTTTTTTTGTTCTTTAAAATAATTTATAAATATCTTAGAGAAATGAAGGCTTCAGAGCGAATGCAATGTCATTTCCTTATAATTAATATTTCCAAGGATCAACACTTATTTTCGAAAGTGTCAAAGCCATTGCTGATATAAACCTATGATATAAGTTTTAAATTTCTGGCAGGAATTGTAGACATGAGAGCACTAACAATGCAATTTTCCATATAATCAATATTTCCAAGGAGCACAACTCTTTCAAAAATAATAGATCGGCACTGATTTTTGAACTCTTCAAAGACATTGGTGTTATATACCAATGATATAAGTTTCATAAAAAATCTGGCAAGAACTGTTCATGTGAGAGCGCTAACAAGACTGGACAGACCGACGCATGGACGGAAGCATGGTATTTCTATGCCTCCCCCCTGCAACACGTTGCGCAGGGGACAATAACACATTTAAAAAAAAAAATAAGTCAAGTGCTGTGACGAGGAAAGAATGGTCTTTAAAAATTTACAGTAATTCTAAAATATCTTTCATGTTCTATATGAAGGATCATATGACTTTAATAAGTAAAACCTAAAAAAATTAATATATACCAAAACTCAGGTCAGTATTTCCATCAAATGCAGATAAGTTAGAATTAGAGGGAAGCATGGATATATAAAACAAAACGCACCTTTCAACTGAAAAAATCAAAATACTTACAGATCTTCAGGTTCTTCCAATGTCGGCAAACTAAGCTTGGTAAGACGTGGAAAGTCCATGTCTTCCACAACAGCCCAATCATCTTTAACTTGGACAGATGCATCTCTGTGTCTTATTGGAGCCTTAAAATAATAATACAAGTCTTGTCACTAAAGAAGAAGGGTTTGATAATGAGTCGGTCACAAGGTCAGTATTTAAAATAATGCAAAATCAATAATATTTGAATAAATACTGCACAACTTTTGACTTAAATCTTAATGTTATAATAAAATATTATACAAATCCCAAATTAATAATTTTATAAATATGGAAATCATTGTTTCTTGCTTCAATAGTTAAATTTATTTTTTCTTAATTAAACTAAAACATTTTTCCATTTTCAATACCTTTTGTCGATTTTCTTGTTGTTTACCAAACTGTTTCTGCCATTTCCTCAACAGACGCTGACGATCCCTGTAAAAGTATCATTATGTCATCACTCAGTTTTATATGAGCATTTAAACGAAAAAGTCAGATTTGTGTTGAGGAAAGAATATAAAAATTTACAGATATCCTAAAACACATCACAAACTGAAACAAAGCTGCTGGCAAAGTATCTTATTTTCCTTGAATTGCTTAAATAAAATCTATCATATCATCTGCTTGCATTGGTAAAGGTCAGATAAAATGTAGATCACAGGATACTTTAAAAGTGTAAATAGTATTTACTTCTTTGATTTTCCAGTAATATGTGCTGCTTACTCTCTCTTACATCTGTCAGTGTCTAGAACTTACGGTGAAATTGTTCTTCCATATATGCCTTGATACATATACATGTGTATCAATCAATATAATTTTCCCCAATCTAATCCATTCTGTCCCAAGAAGAATTTAATTTTATTACAAAGGAAGCATTTTAGATGACACATCGCAGATAGCCAAAAGAAGGATTTTAGATGACACATCAGTAGATAGTCACAGGAAGGATTTAAGATGACACATCGGTAGATAGTCACAGGAAGGATTTTAGATGAAACATCGGCAAATACCCCTGTACAGTGAGGCTGTACTGTAAGTTATATATGTACCTTTCTCTACTTTTCTGTGTTTTAGATAACACCTGCATGCTAGCTTGAGCTTGCTGTTGCCTTCTTTCTCTTTCCTTTCTTTGTTTATTCTAAAACATGAATTTTCAAGATATCAAACTTTGTGCAACATATTTTAGGTGCTATCACTGTATTTAAATAAACTGTGATAATAGAGTAAGTTTTTTATTTTTGATTACTTCAAAATTCAAGACGATCTGGTTTGTGACATGACATATGAGATATGTGTTTAAATTTCATAAGAATATCTATTTGTAAGATTTCATAAAAAAATAAATGGAGAATGAGTCCATGGGACACAGATGATGCCCCTGCTTGCATATAATGTTATAAAGGGGCATAACTCGAGAAAGGTAAAAGTGACATCACCCAAATTTGAACTTGATCTGTGTTTTGTGGTCATAAGCATTGTGTATAAGTTTCATAACATTTGGTAGAGGCAAACTAAAGTTAGAGAACGGAAACCAATTTCAGGACGCATGTACGGCAGACGGACAAGGGTAACACTTAATGCCCCCTCCAGTGACAGCAGGGGCATAAAAAAATGTCTGAAGATCTAATATTATCACCATGATGCTATAACAATGACAGTCCACTTATACCATGATACTGATGTTTCATAATAATTCCATCATTTTTAATTGGCAGACAAAAATCACATAGTATTATTAAGCTGTTGATGTCTTAAAAAACACAAATCCTGACTACACCAAACTGTACATGACAATGTTATAACAATGTGAGTAAAATTTAATAAAACAGACTGCAAAATTGTCATATATGACTGTTTTATATGGAGGGTTTTTGTTTCAGCAATTTTCTTTTAACCTCATGAGTAAAGCCAAATTTTGTACACTGCAAAACAAATCTGCTTCATGATTTGTTTAGAACCTTGTTTCAATATGCTTTCATACCATACCTGTTGATAAACTCTTCTTCCTCTCTGGTACACTGGTTTCTGAACCTTTGCTGTATCAACAAGCTGGAAACTGTTCTCGTCTTCTTCATGGTAGTAAGCATACTGGCTTCCTAAACCTCCAAATGCAGAACTGTATTTTCCTGTGCAATACAAACATTCAGAACTGTAGTTAGATATAACACAAATCTGGAGTGTCTTGGAATACTTTAAAAAAAGACACCATTACTAATGTATAGACAAATAGAATGCTTCGCTGAGCGCAGCTGGATACGACCGCAGAGGTCCAACCCTTAACAGTTGGGGCAAAAATGGACACAATATTCGCGCTTGATACAGGTCTGAATTTGGATTGTAATTAAATATTTGACACATAATAGGTTTCTGACAGAATAACTGTAGTCAAAGAACTTAGAATTGGTTATATTCAATTTTTTGCTTTTGTGCAATACACTGTGCCTGTGTGAATTGACACCACAAAAACTAATACATTGTTGACGCTGCCACCGGAAACTCCATAAAGTCTTGCTTTTTGACTCCGTCAAGGGGAGACAAAAATTGTGAAAATCTGATATATACATAAAAACAAATAAACGATAAATACAATCATATAAAACATAACCTATCTACTTAGATAAAGTTATACCTAAATATCTTTTGTCTTGATAGGTTGCTCCAGTCCAATCAGAAACCTTTAAAAAAAAAGGTTATGAGTTTATATAACAATTCATATTATTCCAACTTGACACAGCAATAGACATAAATGCTATTTAGTGACATTACAGAAATTTTTGTAACCCACCTCCTTCCTAAATTGAAGATGCTGGATTTTTTTCTGCTAATACGTTGCTATCAAACCCTAAAATCAAATATTTTTAGTTTTGAAAATTTTTAACTTTTAAGTCAGACAAATTGGTGGAATTGCAGATATATTTAGCACAATTTTGCTATACCTGATCTTTAAAAATCAATAGTACTAACAGTCTTTCAGGTAGATTCACTGCCCAGTTCTCTGAAAAATTCCAACTTTAATCTGACAGTTCAAAAACAGTAGGAACAAATCTTTTTTGAATTGTAAAATTCCACCTGTATTTCCTGTAAAAATTTGTTGTAACTCATTAACAATTTGATCAGCGCGCCTGAAATTAATTACCAGCACAACAAATAATCTTACACAATGATTTCTGTGTGAAATTATAATATATGGTCATGATCTATGTACCTTGTATGCTAAATATGTGATTAGAATATTTTAAAAATGCTTTGAGTGTTTCATATTAGCTTTGTATTTTTTAAATGTGCATTGCACGATTTGCTTCCTCTGTATAAGATTGTTTTCAAGAATTTATCAGAGTTCGCGAAAACTTATTTTGACCCGTCGGTCATGGGACCGACAAAGCATGATTATTTGTCAGTCCTACAAAATCTGTCAATTTTATCATGAAATAAAATTAATAACATATTTTATCGAAAAATAACTTTATTAATATTAGTTTTATTCTTCGCACCCACAGGCAAAATTAACAATGAAGGACCAGTTCAGGTCTTCTGATTGTTCTTATTTAAAGTCATCTTCACTATCCATTTCATCATCTGAATCACTTTCTCGGCTGTTACAGTATTTGTTTGCTCCATTGTAGGGTTCAATCTCTGATTGTTTGCCAGGGATGGCTCTATGAACAAATTTAGAAGGCCACATGTAGATCGCCGCTTTGGTTTGTTTATAATAAATCAGTAAACCAGTACCGGAAATTGGCAGCGGGTACATCTGATAACCGATGTAAACAGTTATTGGAAACAGTTGCGGTACATCTAATAACCAATGTAAAAAAGTTCGAAAATATGCACTACAACGGCCGTTTTGTCATCGGCACCGGCACTAGCCTTCAAAATACTGGTCCGAGCCTCATTTTTACCGACAGGACCGACCATTTTCGCGACCTCTGATTTATTTTGTCTGTTCAAGAGATCAATGTTTTAGAACATATGTTGGCATGTTTCTTTAATAATATCTTGCCTACTTTAAGTTGATTTTATCTAATGATGATATCAAAGGTGTATATCAGAAAATAACCATGATTACTAAAGAATTTTAAAAACAAAAGGACATTTTTCCACGAATAATTCATTGCCACGTTTCCCCACAAATTTTATAGATAACTTTACACTTTATTAAAACTTGATTCGTAAGCGAGTACAAAAATTTATCTCCCATGATACATCCGATTGAATTTCCCTGTATTCTGTAGGTGCTCTTGACACTGTATCATACATCATGTAATTTAAAGACCCTGATATGATTTCGAATCTTTGGTTTAGTCCTCCCCTCCCCCTTTTTAAAGTAACAATATGTTGACCGTTTATTCGACCGTCTACCTTTCCAAGTCGATCACCCTTAGAAAAAGGCTGATAAGGCATGTCCTTAAATTGATCAGGAATAGCACAAGGTCCCCATCCATTGGGGTTATCTTGAATTTGTGGGGGATTAAAATGTGCCATTTTCTACCGGCAAACGTGATCGTCTCTATAGCCTCGTTTTCAGAATAAGCCCGTGACCGAAAAGATTCGTTGAAAAGTAAACAACAATGGTCTACAACCAAGATCTATATTTGTCACCATTTTATTTATAATCGACCAGTAGGATTATTGATCTCTGTAGCTCAACCTGGGAATATCATACTTATATATTATGTCCCAGGCTCATCATATAAAATAACAAAGGTTTCAAGGTTTAACTTAATAAGCTGGGGCATCATAATTTGATAAAACATTAAATTTTATATGTTGACCCAGGTTTAAGTCAACATTTTTCGTGTGTGTGTGGCTGTTTTTTTACGACGTCCGATAAGCTTATTTGATAGGAGGCATAGGAAGGGGTACACAGTGGCTTAAATTGTGCAGTATTTCATGCTTTATCATACTTTTCAGTGGCATTTCCTGTGAAATTTTGACTTTGTTTCAGATTAACTTTTTCGAACCTCAAATTAGTGCTCTTTACATAACTGATAATTGTGATTATTGATATCAGATTCTCCTTTAATTATTTGGCTTTTCAAGTTTGGTGGAGATATTTTTAACTTTGTTGTAGCTTAATTTATTATTATGATTTGGCAAAGTCGTAATTTCCTTCTTATTTTGATTGTACTTGCTCTTTTAAAGTTTCTCTGTAGGGCCAAGTGAGTCATGTTCCGTCGTCGTCGTCCGTCCGTCCGTCCGTTTGTCCGTTCGTCGTTAGCGTTAGCGCTGGGAACAGTATATCTAACGTCAATATATATGTTCCTGGTTAGCGTCATCGTCAATTTACTTTTACAAAAATAAAAAAAAATAAACTACTTTGCCAAATTTAACCAAACTTGGCCAATTCATATTTGGGGTATCTATATTTTTTTAAATGTGTCCGATGACCCTGCTCGCCAACCAACATGTCCAACACCGGCAACATGGGTAAAAATAGAACATATGGATAAAATGCAAGTGTTGTCTATATTAACTTGAAAACAAATGAAGATCGGTAGACCGTGCACTTAAAATAGCAAAATTGATCAGCAAGACAAGAATTACAAATAATTCATATGGTCAAAATCGACTCCCTAATGGAGTTATTGTCCTTTAAAAACGATTTTTACCAGTTTTTGTGTTCTTGTCTAATATCTTAAATATTATAATATAGATAGTTAGAAACTTTAAAAAGCAATTCTGATCAGCAAGACAAGAATTAAAAATAATTCATATATCCAAAATCGAATCCCTAATGGAGTTATTGACCTTTAATGACGATGTTTATCATTTTTTTTTTGTGCTTTTGCCTACCGGGTATTATCTTGAAAACTTTGATATACAGATAGACACTTCAAACAGCTAAACAGATGAACAAGGCTAGATCTACAAATAAGTCAACATGGTCGAAATCATCAGCCGCGACTCCTTATAGGATTCGAGTTAATGCTCTTTAATGTAGCACAATACAAAAGCAACTAAATTTTATCAAAATTTCATTTTCAGCTGTTTTTGTTACTTCTTAATATTCCAAAACCACAGAAGAAAAATTTATTTACATATCTTGCACTGTTACTGAGTTTTGATGATAATTAGTTTTATAAACAAATACAAGTGTCTGACTGATACAAGATAAGAACAATCATGTGGGCAGTACTTTGTGGTTAATCAATAGAATCATTTGATAGCTTTATGACCACTGACCAGCAATAAAAATAACAGTTATGAAAGAGAGGTGGATAAGGGGTTAATGGAAAAATAAAGATAATGAATTCCAAATAAAAATACATTTCTATATTGGAGCTGCCAGGAGAAAAAAAAAAAAACAATAATTTGGAGATATAGAGGGAATCAAAATATAAATATACAGATATTAAACAAATGTAATTGTACAACAATTAATGTTTCTGATGTGTATACTAAAATTTCGTAAGGAGAATGTTTAGATATGAATTCTTTTTAAAAGAAAATACAAATTAAATATTTCATTTTCAAACTGCCAAAATGAAAAATATCTACTTTGTGTAAAACACCATTTTGTCATTGTATACAATTATAATTCTAGAAATCCCCACGAAGGATCCTCTAGACTTACCAACTGATCATTTTGAGTCCACATGCATAACTTACTTTTTGTAACAATGAAAAAAACTAAATATATTATTTTATGTACTAAATGAATAAAATCCATATTGAAAAAAGTAAATGCAATGTGTAATTAAACTTCTGATATCATTAATAGTAAAGGTTTATCATGGTGGGAGGAGTTTTGACCATATCAGTAGCAATTGACTTACAGCAAGGTCATTAATGATATAACATCTCCCGCCAGATCTGATTTTTGATGCATAGGGTGTGCATTTTCTTTATATATTTAGAATTGCTGAAATGGAATGCTTTCTTACTGGTCAAAACCTAATTGATTTATGATTAAAGGCCAATCCTGAAGTATCCCCATGGTACATGTGTAAATTATATTGAAGTTAATGGGGTACAAGTAGGAAAATCCTTATTTATTCAATTGTGACACATTCATTTTTGTCATGAAAATGTAGTTTTAAATGAATTTAGCTCCTAGATGGGTGCCTCTATATGCCTGATTTTCACACATGTTGTTCCTTGACCAGTTATCTTCAAAAGGATGTCTCATATTTCCAAAACATCAATAGAACAAATTTTATACCCAATTAAATTTAGTGATCTCTTATGAATTGAGGTTGCAAACTTCATTGAAGGTTTGTGAGAGAATGAAATACAATAGGAAAAATCTGAGACACACTTTTGGAGGTCAAACTGTGTTATACAAGAATCTATAAAATATTTTGGGATGCTATGAATAACAAAGAAGCTAATTTCATTCAAGTGTGGACATCACAATATAGCAACTAATTACATAATAATTAATTATGTAATTATTATGTCATAATGAAATTATCACCATTTGTAAGATTAATCTTACTCCTTTCTTTTGGTACCTCATTTATAAAATTTAAAGCTGGATGAACGAAATTACATCAGTTTCAAGTTGTCTGATTGGGGGTGAACAAATCTTTGTATTGTGCTACCTTAATGACGGTAAACTAGACAATGTTTGGAGTGGAACAGGTAAAAAAATCTGCATTAACCATAAATGTAACTCTATAGGAGGCGCGTACATTGCCCCCCTAAATCCACCTCTTGAAATTGTCCGTCGACTTCCTTCTTCTACTTCTACTACCATTACGCGACCACCATCAATAAACTGCATGGTTATTTTACCTCTGTTGGATGTGCATGTAAAAGTTTTATTGTAAAAAAAAGGAGATTTGTACTATACATTCTCCCTATTGGAGTTAATTCCCTTTAATGACGATTTTTACCATTTTTTGTTTGTTTTTGTCTATTATCTTGAAGAATTAAATATGCATAATAATGCGCACGAAGATTTATAGTGTTGAGGAGAGGTGCAAAATGAACAGCATATTTATCAATACTAATAAAAAATGTTTTATAACTTGAACAAAGCATAAATTTCAAACTATCAATTCAGAGCGAATTATCAAACAATATTACAAATGAATTAAGAAATGTCACAAAAGTTTTCACGTGAAATATTCTTTTCAAGAGGGCAACATATAGTCTTCAGCAATAGACAGGTGTCTGAACAATGTAGCTTGCTCAAAATTTAAAATTAATATCAGATAAAAATTTCATTCTGGAGAAGTTTCATACGATTACGTAATGTTGATTGGTCGAGCCATTCCAGAAGTTAAATTTTATTTCCGTATAAAATGCAACATCTTTGATGCATTGAAAAACAAATGAATGGCTTGATTTAACTTATAATTTTATCGTGCGATGTAGCATAAACATGTAACTATATGGATTGAGTGATTCTTTTTGTAATTCTATAGGGTTGTAAAAGCGTTGAACGTGTGCACATTTTTGGTTGACTTTACAAACTACGCCCCGACTCCCTCAGGAAAAAATTACTTTATGCCACGATGGGTTTGGCTATTCTTTTTATTGGGCATGTAGCTCTTGAAGTAATCAGTACGAAATGTATCTATACATCATTGTCTTTCAAATTATGGGAGTTAAACGTCAGTTCTCAGATAACAGAATTTAAGAAACGTTTGTTATAAATCATGTTAGTACTGAAGCATTGACAATTCAGCTGTTGATATCATCCCGTGGGATTCCTTTTGTGGGCGGGTCGAGCAGCTGAGACATTCAGTACTCCATCCTTTTCATATGTTGATTATTAAAAAAAAAACATACCTTATCATATAATTTCGAAGAAAAAAAAAGACCTATAGTATACTTCTCTATTTAGTGGAGAGTTAAAATAGATTTGGTAAAAATCTGATGCAATTACGACTGTGGTTTTAATCGTACCTTTGAAATACTAATCATGATCTGATTCAGTAGTTATCCTATCCAGCGGAACATCCCTACCACTCAGTTTATAGGAAGGTCAAGCCCCCACCCACCCCCGGATGAATAAATACTTGTATACAAAGTCTAAATTGAAAAGAAAATTGATCTCATTATCTCATTTGTATCCTTTTTATCGATATCTGAGACTATTGTAACACTGTTTTATAGTAGTCTCAGATATCGATATAATCCAAATAGATGTAAATTGGACACCTGAAGTTGTGTTCGTTTATCATTACACTAACAGAATAGAAGATTTAAGATGGAATGGCGGACCAGTTTGAAATAAATGCATATTAATTTTTTATTAAGATATCTTTTTTTAAACTAAATCGGATATCTTATATAGTTTATAAGATGTCATAAATCATTTTAAAGATATCTTTTAAACACATACTTTAAGAGATATATTGCATAGTTTATAAGATATCTTTAAAAGGCGCATATAAGTTACTTATATACTTTATCAAAAAATCTTATTTACTTTATAAATTATCTTATTAACTTTATAAGATATCTTATAAGCTATACACGATATCTTATCAGTATAAGATATCTAGAATTTATCTTACCTCCTATTCATTTCTAGGAATATAATTGCTTAAAAGCAACCGCGTGGATACTGTATATTCCATATTGGGTTAGTAGGGTTCCATATTGGGTTAGTAGGAGGGGCTTATTTCAATACTCGGTTAGTAGTGGTGTTACGTCCCTTTATAAAAACAACACGGTGTTGAGGAAAAATCTTAAAGATTTCAACAGACGAAGAAATTGATGATGAACGATTAAATAAATTCATAAAACACATTTAAAGCTAACAAGTTATTATTGTTGACATTTGTTTTTGTATAGACCAATGGAAGTAGGTTCTTAATACTAACGGTATTAAAGACTTGATCACTTAATAGGCCACTAGTCTAAATACCACATGTTAAGATATTCGGTAAGATAAATTCGTTACATAGTGGCTAGTGACCTAATACGATATATATGGGGTCAGTAAATTCCATATGGGGATTCGAGCTTCGCTCCCACCCCATATGGAATTTACTGACCCCATATATATCGTATTAGGTCACTAGCTTCGCTCGAATCCCCATATGGAATTTACTGACCCCATATATATCGTATTAGGCCGTCACTAGCACACTATGTATAACTAATAATATCTATAAACTGTTTAATGAGCTATATTGTTCAATATATAAAATATATTATTTGATATACCAGTTATCTTATTTAATTTATAAGATATCTCAATTAGTTTATGATATATCTTATTTAGATTATACGATATCTTGAAAATGGAATAAATATAAAAACGGCTTGCCATCATAGATGCACGACAAAATTCACAACACATATATACTAGGTTTTGCTATGCTTTCAGTATTATAATACAACATTATCCTTGTTTGACAGGCCTTGTCTTTCTATTATACTCCATAATAAGTTTACCCTCTTGTTTTGTTTTTTTTTTTTTTTATAAAAAGCTGTTTCTTGCGTGTTCATTATCGTGTTCATAAATGCATATGGCGAGCCGTTTTTATATTTATTCTATCAGATATCCTTTTTACGTCATGAACAAACAGATACATGTGAAATACGTACAATCATAATTGTGGACACAGAAAAAAGATCAGAGATAAGACCCTTATAAGCCCTGTGTGAAGGTAAAAAAAAAATAAAATCATTGTTTAATAAATTTGCTTGATTAACCTTGAAGTTAAGACTAATAACGATTACGTGTATCGAGAGAACCCCCTAAATAAAACAATACTATGTTCTTGACGACTTCCGCGCGCGATGATCGATAGAAATAATATTTTATGATAGTGTATGTTAAAAATCACAAAATGGATGGCTGTGCTCTTCCATTCATCTATTCATTGTTGGTAAATACATGCACCTTTTTCTAAGCTACGTCCCTTGAATACAATCTTCTGTGATATTTGGCGCGAAATGGATGAAATCGCTAACTTAGATGAAAGTGACTGGCAAAAGCTGAAAGATCAATACAAATCTGTATTGAAAGCAAAATCTGAAAGATTAAATGACAAAAAGAAAAAAGATCTGATTCAGCTTGATGTATGGTAAGATAGTTATAGGACTTTCAAGGGTATATATTGCTTTGTGAGAAATGATATAAATGAAATATTTGCCACTGGATCATAATTGGATAACATGAAAATAAACAACAACAAAGATCAGTTTATATTTAACCATGATTTTCTTGGTTCATTTAACAAAAGATTACAGAGTAATTTAGCTTGAAAACATTTATAACAATAGGTTACATTTATATATATATATCTTTAAGGTTCATCATAACAAATGGACAAATATGCCATTATATGGCTGTAATAAATGTATTTACACTTTTGGTATTTAGCTATATTTCGCCTCCGAATGACCTTAGATCTACTCCGAACCACCTTTTGACGTCAGGCAACAATCACTTTTTAATTGTGACGTCAAATGTTTTGAATTATGATGTCAAAGTTTACGGGAACCTGTGTGATTTTACGTAATGGCGGACAAATTTGCATACAAGTGTAAATACGTGTGATATAAAAGTTAAATGCATTTTGTGTTTCAATAAGATAAAATCTTTTTTGGATTTTGATAGGCATTTTTTTCTGTTCCTGCAGAAGTTGTAAAAATAAACTAAGTTGGGTAAATCTTTGAGATGCTCCCTCTCAGGTAACAACTGTATTGATTGTCTTTGATTGGCATGGACAATAGATATCTACACAACAATAGGTGAGTTAAAGGGTGTAACTGAGTGGACAGTATCAAATGTAATTTAGGTGTTTTTAGCTCACCTGGCCCGAAGGGCCAAGTGAGCTTTTCTCATCACTTGGCGTCCGTCGTCCGTCGTCCGGTGTCTGCGTTAACTTTTTACATTTTGAACTTCTTCTAGAGAACCACTGAATGGAATGAAACCAAACATGGCATGAATGTTCCTAATGAGGTGCTGACCAAGTGTTGTTACTTTGTAGCGGATCCATCATCCAAGATGGCCGCCAGCAGGGGACTTAGTTTAACATAGGACCCTATGGGAAATACATACAAATGTCTTCTTTTAGAGAACCACTGAATGGAATGAAACCAAACATGGTATGAATGTTCCTTATGAGGTGCTGACCGAGTGTTGTTACTTTGAAGCCGATCCATAATCCAAGATGGCTGCCAGCGGGGGACTTAGTTTAACATGGGACCCTATGGGAAATACATACAAATGTCTTCTTTTAGAGAACCACTGAATGGAATGAAATCAAACATGGCATGAATAAAATTGAGAATGGAAATGGGGAATGAATGTTCCTTATGAGGTGCTGACCAAGTGTTGTTACTATGAAGCTGATCCATCATCCAAGATGGCAGCCAGCGGGGGACTTAGTTTAACATAGGACCCTATGGGAAATACATACAAATGTCTTCTTTTAGAGAACCACTGAATGGAATGAAACCAAACATGGCATGAATGTTCCTTATGAGGTGCTGACCAAGTGTTGTTACTATGAAGCCGATCCATAATCGAAGATGTCCGCCAGCGGAGGACTTGTTTTACATAGGACCCTATGAGAAATACGTACAAATGTTTTCTTTTAGAGAACCATTGAATGGAATGAAACCAAACATGGCATGCATGTTCCTTTTGAGGTGCTGACCAAGTGTTGTTACTTTGAAGCTGATCCTTCATCCATGATGGCTGCCAGATGGGGACAATGTTTAACAAAGTACCCTATGGACAATACATACAAATGTCTTCTTTTAGAGAACCACATACTGAATGGATTGAAACCAAACATGGCATGAATGTTCCTTATGAGGTGCTGACTAAGTTTTGTTACTTTGAAGCTGATCCTTCATCCATGATGGCCGCCAATGGTCGGACTTCCTTTAACATAAGACCCTATGGGAAATACATAAAAATGCTTCTTCTAGAGGTGCACTGAATGGAATGAAACCAAAACATGGCATAAATGTTTCTTATGAGGTGCTGATTAAGTGTTGCTACTTTGTTGCCGATTTACTGTTCAAGATGGCCACCAGGATTTTTTATTAAATTACAGGACCAATATTAAACCAAATTATTAGGGTATCTGTTATGATTTTAATCTATTTTTACATGATTTCCAAAACCAAAGTAGAATCAGGTGAGCGACACAGGCTCTTGAGAGCCTCTAGTTTTAATTTTACACCAACAGCAGGAACAAAAAAAAATGCCCATCAAAATCCAAAAAAGATTTTTTATCTTTCTGAAAAGTTCTGGAGGAACCTATTAACTAGTTACTTTGTTCTTCCTCTGGTTTAAAAGTTCCGGAACAAAGTGACTAGTTGAAAAGTTCCAACAGAACATATCAACTAGTTAGAAAGTTCCTTTTTGCCAAATTAGTCAAAACCGGAACTAACAAACTAGCCCAAAAGTTCCAACGGAACTTATCAACCAGGCGGAAAGTTCCATTTGAAGAATTGATGCAAAGTAAAAGCGCAACATATTATATTTGAACCTTTCAAAGGGAAACCGAGATACTGATTACAAAAGTCAAATGAAACTTATCAACTAGCCACAAAGTTCCTCTTTGGCAAATAAGTCAAAACCGGAACTAACAAACTAGCCCAAAAGTTCCAACGGAAGTTATCAACCAGTCAAAAAGTTCCATTTGTAGAATTGATGCAAAGAACCACATGAGGAGGGGGTAATCTTCCCTCTCTTGAGGGTACTATGAATACTAAATTTGCATGATAATGCAACTTATTCCTTTTATGTGAGCTATGAAATACAACTTAAATTTTGCATATTTGTCCCCAAAGAAACCCCTTTCAGTGCGTTGGGTATTCTTGTAAATTAATGATTTGCTCTTATATATACTGATACTCATTCTTCCCCTCTTTCTACAAAAAGGACGAAATATGGTATATTCGGAACGATGTAACTAGTTGTTCTGTTCCGCCAGAACTATTCAACTAGCTACATTGTTCCAGGACTTTTCAACTAGCTACTTTTTTCTGGAACTTTTCGACTGCACTCGGATTAAAACAACTAGTTGCAAAGTTCCATCGGAACGAAATAACTAGTTGAAAAGTTCCGCCGGTAAAAGTAACTAACAGAACATAGTGGCTGTTACATAAATACAGCCGTATTTGTCCATTTGTTATGATGAACCTTAAACAGAGACATATAATACATGATCTTGGCAATTAGGCAAAACATGATCTCATTGAAAAGGATAATGTATGATATAAAAAAAGTCCTAAAAAACACAAAAATATTAAAATATTACCTACAATTATACACATATAGCTTATCAAGAACTCATTTTAGATAAGATTTCCATATTTTCTAACATAAAATTGGTATTAAAAACAATAAAAGAAGTATTTAAAATACCCAACACCACCCTGCTTCCTATGAATCTTTGAATTTTTAAGATCTAAAAGTCAATATTTGACTTTCCTTGTTCATAAAATCTTTATTTTAAAAGATTCTAGAACACACCTGCGACATCCCAGGTCCGTGACTGAATTAAAGTACCTATGCCTTAATTTTAGCCTGGATTTTTAGTATTCGTATTGTCATCTGATAAAGTCATGCTGATTGTAAGGTGCACAGTTTTCTCTGCTTTCAAAATCTTTCTGTTTTAACCTGTCCTGGTTTTTTGAATTTTAACTAATTAACCAAAATTAATAGTGGTATTGAGGTGGAAGAAAACAGACTATTTTAAATATATGCTACTATAGTGTAACATGGATATAAAACAAGTGGAAGAATTCCAGGTTCTCCTGATAGAGGAGGGATTTACAGAAGGTAACAGGTAACATGCAGAAGCAACATGTGACATTGGTATTGGTATCGGATTCGACCCGGAACTTGTTAAATATTAATGGTAATATTAATTATGTGGAAAACAAAAGGGCCTGGTATGGTGTAATTTTTAAACAGAACCATTGTCCTATATTAGCTATTTATAAAGTTGAATTCTTTGATTCGTCGTTTTTACATCATGCCGGCTAACAAATTAGACCTTGTTATTTTAGTAGTATAGATGTGTTTCAAACCCAGAAAATTGTCAATATCTGAACACAGTTTTAAAAATTAGAAAGCTGTATAGTTAATGTAACTCAAAAGATTATATGGTCACTAAATGGATTGCCAATCGCAAGTACTATATATGTGTCTGCTTAAAGAAATAGACAAATTGTTTTTTTCACTGGCATGACTGGTTAAATGTGGGGAACATGAATAGTAACATTATATACACTTTAAGGTTTCAGGAAGAACTGCCAAAGAACATACAAGGGCGTAAAGAAAAACATATCACACATGAGGAATTGTGTAAATTAATGAAATGGAAATTGACGGTGAGTCTCTCTGCATTATTATCAAAGGTTACAAACATTACAAAAATGAACAATTGGTTAATGCAGTTATCAAGGTATAATTCGATGACAATTATTAAATTGACTTTGTAAATGAATGGAGACATTAAAAAATACCAAATACACTGAGAAGGCTGTTGAATTTGGACAGATATATTAACTTATTTCAGAGTTTGTGAGTAAACAACCCTCATTATTATCATGATCAGTGGACTAACAAAAAGTATATAGAGTCAAAGAAAATCACTTAAGGTCAAGGAACAGTAAATGGGCTTTGTCACAATTTTGCTCAAATTTTGCATACAACCTTGGCTCGTTGGACTTGAACTGAAAATTGAAAAAAATAATGCATTTATTTCTTTTATTATCTGAAATATTACTGATTGAATTCTTTCAAAATAGGTTGACATTTGTATAGAAATCAAATAAAATCGGCGACAAACCTTCTTAAATTTGTCCGAGAATCATCAAACCTCTAATTTCTAATACACAGATTATTCTTAAAAAACTATATACTGTTGATACATTAATTTCCGTCTGAATGATATAAAATGATAATATGGTCACCAACTTCGTTTTTTGTCTGATAATCAATCTTTTACCTAGTTGGTAGTGAAAAACTTAAAAATTTAACATTTTACGGCCTGCAATGCAATGACGTTATGATTATTTCGACGTTTTGTGGTATTTTTTCACATAGAAAACCACTTTAAATGATGTTTACCGTAAAGTCGAAGTCAGTGAGCCTATCAATATTTTACATCATTAAAAACAGAAATTTATGTATCGACAACATATCTTTGTATTAGAAATTAGAGATTTGATGATATTAAGACAAATTTAAGAAGATTTTCTGCCGATTTTATGTTCTTTCTACTCAAATGTCAACCTATTTTGAAAGAATTCAATTAGTAATCTATTTCAGATGATAAAAAAGAGAAATGCATTATTTTTTCAATTTTCAGCTATAGTTTAATGAGTTGTATGTAAAATTTTACCAAATTCTGTGACATAACCCATTTACTGTAACTTGACCTTAATTAAAAAATATTTGTACATGGTAAATGTATTACAAGTGACAATTATACAGCCTCATCATTAAAACAAAAGCATATATTTAACAAATGCTTGGAGAGACAAAAACTAGCACAAAGTACTTTATTATCTGAAAAAAAACATGTCTCCTGCCAATTTCATATCAGCAGTGGTACTACTGAATAGATTTTTTACAGCAATATGATGGACAGAGCTAGAAAATATGACTTAGTACAATTGCCATTGTTAAGTGCACAAATTCCAGTACAGAAAAGAAGAAAACTGAAATATTTTAGTGGTGTTTCAAGTTGTAAATAAACCCATTTATATTAATTACATTCTTTTTGTTGGTTACCGGTACTAACATTGTTTATTTAGTGTATTTTACTTGCTTTAGAGAGGAAAATTTCGACCACGTCTTGAACAAATGGTGCAAGAAAACTCTGAAGAAGATGTAATGAAAGCAAGCAAGAAAGCCTTTAGTTTATTACCTAATGTTTCTGAAGCTATCAAGGCTTTATCAGTTTTAAAGGCTATTGGTCCAGCAACTGCTTCAGGTTTGTATATAAATTGTTGCTGAATCACTGACATGTTTTATAATGTATATTTCTAATGATTGATAGATTTAGAAATTACCTAGAAAACTAAGATTCCAACTTCCCCAGGCAAAGTTGACCTTTAAAGGAGCAGTAGCTGTCAAATTCGTGTTCACCGATTTGACTCAATTCTCATATTTGATTTATATGCATGGACACAACATGATGGACACGATAATATGTATCAACATTCTGTGTGTATTTTTGTCTAGACGTCATCTAATTAACCAGCGATATGACCTCCGAAGACTGCTGACGGTCATATAACCCCATATAAACATAGATATAGATATAAATAGATAACGACCACTTACAATTGGATTTTTTAGGTCTGTTTGATTTCATATTGTACATTAAAAAATATGTTTATCATCGTTTTTACCTGTATAAGAATGATTTGTTGTGGATCAAATCAGTCAACTAAATGGATTATCCTCGTTTCACTTTCAATGTTGGCATTCTTTTCCTTTTAATAGCTGAATACATGTGTAACTCATCTTTAGCTAAGGGATTAAATTGTAGGTCACATGAATACAAATTCAATGAGGTCGAATTATTCACTTGCAAGTGAATAATTCATCGGCGATGTTTCATTATTGAACCAAATTGGCTGCTAAAAGTGAATTATTATTTAACTATTTCACTTTCATTAATGATTGAACAAAAATAAAATTTTATGTTTTTTTATATCTCGTAGCTAATGCCTCTTTAAAGCTGAATCTGGCTATTCTTTTTAGGTCCCTCAAAATCATATACCTCATAGCTATCAAGTGATGAGAAGCATTAGAAATTTAGGTGAAAACAATTGGCTCTTGAAACATGGTGTTTTTTTTTAGGAGAGACTGCAAATTGTTAATTGAGATTATTTACTCAATTAGTAATACAAAAGCTGTTTGATCTTTTAAGGATTAAGAAATCATTGTATCTGTCTAAAATCAAGCTGTCGCTGAAAAAAATCAGATATGACATTTGAATGATCTACTTTGTGATATACATTTTTACATGCATATTGTAGATTAAGAGCTAGTTGCTAAACACCTTCCAGTAACTGTTTTTTAATAAGTAGTCTATGTATTTTTTTTCAGCTGTTTTAGCAGCAGGTGCCCCTAAACATGCAGCATTCATGGCAGATGAGAGTATGCTAGCTCTGCCAGGACTTAAACCTCTTGCATATACACCTGCCTTCTATACCAAGTATATGGACCAAGTGAAGGGCATTGTTAAACAGTTAAACAAAGGTATGGACATACTTGTATTTATTACTTTACCAAAGTTTCCCAAAACATGTTTCCCAGGATTACATGGAACTCCTGAGTTATTTCCTACCAAAAGCTTGCATTGTAGTGGAATATATAAATATGATCCATAAAATTTCATATTTGAATAGACACAGTTTATAGGGTACTGGTTTTGGGAGGTCAGATAATGCAATGAGCAGTTGCTATAAAGAAAAAATACTTACATTGCAAAAATAAGGAGAATATTCAATAGAAAACCATAAGTCTATTTTAAACACACACAACACCATAGCCAAAAAGAAAGAGACACATGGACAGATAGACATGAATGATAATGTGTCATATTCACAAATACTGTTACCTCAACACATTTGATCCATATTTCCATTACCAGAAATACTCTTTTACTATATGCTGATTTCTCACATCATTGAAATGTTTTATGGGCTAACTAGATCCCTGCATCTTTGAACTGATAAAGTAATTGTGACTGCTTGACATTTTTCAAACACCCAACATTATCCAACCCTGCCTAAAGAAATATATTAATTTTATCATTTAAAAACAGTTATCGAATCAGTCATAAGGAAGTTATCCTCATTAGAATATTCATCCCTTAGCTCAACATACTGACATAGATTTTATGCCCAACAAACGTACAAATGACATCAAATAACGTCACATAAAACCAAACACTTTGACGGAAAGGTAATGATTGGAATCAAGCGTATTGATAAATAACTTTGTGATAAATAAAGGCAACAGTAGTATACTGCTGTTCGAAATTCATAAATCGATTGAGAAAAAAACAAATCCGGGTTACAAACTAAAACTGAGGGAAACACATCAAATATAAGAGAACTACGACACAACATTAAAATGTAACACACACAGAAACGAACTATAATATAACAATGGCCATTTTCCTGACTTGGTACAGGACATTTTAAGAAAAAAATGGTGGGTTGAACCTGGTTTTGTGGCTAGCCAAACCTCACACTTTTATGGCAATATTAGATATAACACTAAAATGACACCATTACATGACATGAATATAGTTCAACATTACGGACAGAGAATTACGCAAATAAACAATACAATATAGTACATTTGGACAACGAAACAACAGAAACATTGAAGTGAACAAACAACAAACGACAATGCAACACACAGAGAAACAAACTATATGATAACAGTTGCCATTTTCCTGACTTGGTACAGGACATTTTTAAGAAAAAAATGGGTAGAACCTGGTATTGTGGCTAGCCAAACCTCCCGCTTTTATGGCAATGTTAAATATAACATTGAAATGACAACATTACATAACATATCATCCAGAAAATGGTGAGTTGGTAAAAATAGAATCAAAGAAACCAAATTACTTCCTGTTTGTGGATGTTGCCATAGAACTTCCCTCAGAGTAAATACTCTCCTCTATCATATTTGCAGAGATGTCATTTTCAAGAAAACTTAGGCAATAGTCAATAAACTAAGGCAAAAGTTTTCAATCAGGGATGTGATATACAATAATTTTCATTTCCTGGTGACAGAAATATAGATTCCACCACTGCATCAAGTGTGTTAAGATATTTCTCCACTCGAGACAGTTAAATTTTAATATTTAAAGCAAGGCTTGGCAAGCTTTTTAAATAATTAAAAGTTAACTATTGAAAGTGGAGAAATTTTGTAATACATGAGTTAGAGTAGTTGAATCTGTTTATCTAATGATTTTTAGACGATATCTAAAAAAGTTTATCTTTCCTTTTCAAAGATTTGCAGAAAGTTGAGTTCTTGATATCTGAAGTCATCAGGCATGGTCGTTTTTAAAGGCAGTGCTTTAATGCCTTTCTGGTTGCCGTGTTAATCTTTCTTTCCGCGATATCCAACTTATCTACGTGGGGGGTCATTAGGCTCCAAGTAGATCCGGAAAATGTTGATTCTCTCCTCTTCTTATTGTGATATAAAATGTTTTTTGTTTCATTTCATTTACATTGAGAAATAGAGAAACGATCATTGTGTTTTGTTAGTTTTAAAAACTTTTGATATATTTGTATTTTACATTATAAGCAGTCAACCGATTGACAAACTAGAATTATTTGAATTCCGTGTGGAAAGAGGTCGGGTTAATTTCAAGTGTTATCTGCAATCTAGATGTTTATAAATCATTTCAGTCGTTGATATAATAATTAAAGGTCGACTAAACATGAATTATATAATACAATTTAAAGCTCATTTCTGTTTATGCACGCGAACCCGTCTTACGTTATTGTTATTTCGCAGTTATATAAAGTAGCAAATTATCGTTCCTGAATAGGTGGCGCGGTGGTAGCCGATCCTGTTCTTCAACTTCCGGTTTCTGCACTGTGCAACTATTACAGTTGCATTTTTAATTAACGATGCCAAGTACTTGTTGTTGTGTACCTGGATGTCATTTAAGAGGAGGACATGCATTTCCAAATGACTTAAAAAGAAGGAAAAGTTGGATCAACGCCATTTGGACGAGTACACGATGAAATCGTGGAGTCCATCTCAATCAGCTGTTGTTTGCAAGGCACATTTTACTGAAAAAGACTACGTGCAGGAAACTATTCATGGTAAAGCTCTATTTTCTTTTTAAAATATATAGTTATATATGTAAACGCCATGCGAATAAACCAAAGTCTGTTTACAACCGCAATTATCGTTTTAGAATATAAAGGGGTGGTTAATTCAAGACGTCATAATTTTTTGGATTACGATTCAATGTGATCTGTTTGAGAATTTTTTGGTGCTTGCTACAATTATAATGATTTCTTACAAGAGGTATATCATACTGAGAATTATTTTAGCAGTAATTATGCTAATGTAGTAATGACAGGAATACATAAGCTATGCATCATAGACTTTCTTGAAAAATATCAATGACAATGTTAACAGGAACAAAACAATGACATGCTCTCATCTATATTATAGTTATTTAGGTACAAACAATGTATGTTTGTTGCATTCGTCTCTCATTGTTTGTCCTTTGGATTTACATAACATACATTTTGATGTACATTGAATCAGGCTAACATAGTTTTATCCAGATTGTAATGAATACATCTAGTTAATATTTTGCCAGGTAGTACAAAGTATGCATTGCTAATGGAAGTTCATTTAATTATCAAAAAACTAATGTTTTATAACCTTTTTCAGGGCGCAAACCCACCATACAGAGACTTAAGTCTGCTGCCATTCCCAGCCTATTTTCCTGGACCAAGCAAGAGACTGAATCGTCCGCAAAAAGAAAAATGAGGGCAGTTTCCTGTGAAAACAAAAGAACTAAACTTGATGAATATTGTAATAGAAATCTAGAGGAAAGTTTTGATTGTAAAGTTGGTTTTCCTGAAGAAGTCATTCATACTGCAGACAGGATTTATGACTGTCCACCACCAACTACCGAGCTAATGTTGAGCTTCACAGATGGAATTACGCAAACACCATCAATGCCTATATTTTCAGCAGAGAATTTTGAAATGAAGACACGTGACACAGCCATGCATTTTTATACCGGTTTAGAGTTGTATACTAAATTTTTATTTGTTTTGACCACACTTGGTCCAGCAGCACATTGTTTGAGATACATATATTTTCAAATTGATAGGGTGTCATTTGAAAATCAGTTTTTTTATGACTTTGATGAAATTGAGGCATTATACAACCAACTTTGGACTGTCTAGATTCTAGATTGAAACTTGTGTTAAGAATATTGTGTAAACATGGATTGTTTTTATGTCTAAACAGTGGCGTGAGGCTAACACTTGGCCATTTAGTGGTTTAGTCAGGTATTTTTCGCCATCCAACTTCAAATTAAAGTTTCCTACAACTTGGATTATTATTGACAGCACAGAATATCCCGTGATAAAACCTAAAGCTCCTAGAGCTCAGGCAACCTTTTCATCATATAAAAACAGAAACACTGAAAATACTTCGACACCTGTTGGTTTAGTCAACTATGTCTCTAATGCATATGTTGGTTGTACCAGTGACTGTGAAATAGTTGAAAGATGTAGAATAGTTCAATTATGTGATCCAGGTGACAGTGTGATGGCAGACAAAGGTTTAAATGTGCAAGATTTGTTTGCTCACTTTTTTCAAAAAAAGAAACAGAATTAGTTCCAAAACTCTTATACGGGATAGAAAAGTCTCCAATTAACACATGCACATATATAGAGCTAATTATTGGACTTGGCAAAACATACAAAATTCTAATAAATCCTATGAATGGAACTGAAACAAAACTTTCATCTGAAATAACAATTAGTTGTTTTATGTTGTGTAATTTTAGAACTTGTATTGTGCCAAAGGATGCAGAAATAAAAGTGACGCAATGAAGTTTGTTCTGATATATATATATAAATATTATTTACAATTACATGCACATGTAAATTGTAATGCATATAAAAATAAGGAGATGTGGTATGATATTCAGTGAGTTTATCGAACCAAAGTGCATAAGAAATTGGTTAAGCAGTTACAGGTGTTACTGTCACCGTACAATCTCCAGCAATTAGAAAAACTTGTACCGTGTAAAAAATTTCAGAGATCTTACAACTAAGTTTGACTTTGGTGAATTGTTTATATCTGTTGATGTAAATATAAAAAAGAAGATGTGGTATGATTGCCAATGAGACAACTCTCCACAAGAGACCAAATGACACAGAAATTAACAGCTATACATGTAGGTCACAGTACGACCTTCAACAATGAGCAAAGCACATACCACACAGTGAGCTATAAAAGGCCCCGAAATGACAATGTAAAACAATTCAAACAAGAAAACTAATGGCCTAATTTATGTACAAAAAATGAACAAATATGCAACACATAAACAAACGACAACCACTGAATTACAGGCTCCTGACTTGGGACAGGCACATACATGTACATACAGAATGTGGCGGGGTTAAACATGTTAGCGGAATCCCAACCCACCCCCTAACCTGGAACAGTGGTGTAACAGTACAATATAAGAACGAACTATAAAAATCAGTTGAAAGAGGCTTAACTCATCAGATGGATAAATACAAATACAAGTGGACATGGCCGGGTAGTTGTACATCCAAACAACAAAAAGACACTAAGTACAGATCTGAGACTACTCGCATTTACTGACAGCTAGTTCAAAGCCACTAACAACTGATAAAGAAATCTTGCATCTAAGACTAAATTATCAATCCGTAAGCTCCCTTTAGAATTTTATAAATTTTAGATTTTACATTTCTGAGTTATGGGGTTTTATTCATTAAAAAGGGGGGGATTTTCCAGTTTTTGGACAACTCAAAAATGCTTTAAGCAGTTCGCATGAAACTTTGGTGAATTATTTATAGCTATTGATGTAATCTCCCTATTGATTTTCATAAATTTCAAATACGACATTGAGAAGAAATTGAACTTTATTTGTTTATAGTCTGGCAACAGATTTATTAAGTATGGCGCAACAGCACAGTGTATTGCACAACAGCAAGAAATCTTTAATTGAATATAAATTCAATTCATATAACTGATTTCAAGTTCTTTGACTACATTTATTCAGAAACTATAATATGTCAAATATTTAATTACAATCCAAATTCAGACCTGTATCAAGCTTGAATATTGTGTCCATTTTTGCCCCAACTGTTCAGGGTTGGACCTCTGCGGGTGTATCCAGCTGCGTTCAGCGAATCAGTTTATTTCTTAATTAAGAACTCCTTTTTGTAGCAGAAAGCTCGACATAGGGATAGTGATCGGACGGCGGCGTTAGCTAACTTTTTAAAAGCTTTATATTTTAGAAGGTGGAAGGTCTGAATGATTCATACTTTGTATATGGATGCCTCATGTTACGAAGTTTCCGTCAGTCACATGTCCAATGTCCTTGACCTCATTTTCATGGTTCAGTGACTACTTGAAAAAAAAGTTAAGATTTTTTGTAATGTTAAATTCTCTATTATTATAAGTAATAGGATAAATATATTTGGTATGTGCGTACCTTGCAAGGTCCTCATGCCCGTCAGACAGTTTTCACTTGACCTCGACCTCATTTCATGGATCAGTGAACAAGTTAAAGTTTTGGTGGTCAAGTCCATATCTCAAATACTATAAGCAATAGGTCTAGTATATGCAGTGTATGGAAAGACTGTCCAACTGGCAGGTGTTATCTGACCTTGACCTCATTTTCATGGTTCAGTGGTTATAGTTAAGTTTTTGTGTTTTGGTCTGTTTTTCTTATACTGTATGCAATAGGTCTACTATATTTTTGTATGGAATGATTGTAAGGTGTACATGTCTAGCTGGCAGGTGTCATCTGACCTTGACCTCATTTTCATGGTTCAGTGGTCAAAGTTAAGCTTTTGAGTTTTGGTCTTTTTTTCTAATACTATATGCAATAGTTCAACTATATTTGGTGTATGGAAATATTTTATGATCTATTTGTCAGTCACGCAGGTTTTTTTTTACCTTGACCTCATTTTCAAGGTTCATTGCTCAGTTTTAAGTTTTTGTGTTTTGGTCTGTTTTTCTTAAACTATAAGCAATAGGTCAACTATATTTGTTGTATGGAAGAATTGTTAGCTGTACATGCCTGCCTAGCATGGTTCATCTGACCTTGACCTCATTTTCTTGGTTCATTGGTCAATGTTTAGTTTACTTGGTTAATGTTAAGTTTATGTGACAGTTGTAATAAAGCTTTATATTTAGGACTATCAACATAATATCAATGATTAGTAAAGAAGGCGAGACATTTCAGCATGTGCACTCTTGTTTCATTCATAAATTACTTTATACTTGGAAATATAATTTTGCTTGGAGTTATAGTTTCTAAAAAAAAGTATTGTCATTGAAAGAGTTGACATGTTGCAATGTACATTTATTCTACATAGTTCTATGGTACCAAATCAAAAGTTTATATAAAAGAAAGAAGTCAAAGGTTTCCCATTATAGTTTAGTTACATACATTTTTTTTGTACCTGAGGTCATTGAATATAGATCATTATATAAATAAGGAGATGTGTTATCATTGCCAATGAAACAACTATCATCCATACATTGTACTTACCAGTAACAAACCACATTTGCAAAGTTGAATAAAATACAGTTGATAACATTTACTTATTACTAAAAAGAAAATGCGAAACTAATTTAAACAGTATTTGACTATAAACATAGATAAAAAAGGTACAAACTGGATATAATGCACTAGTTCATAAACAAGTGAGAACAATCACCTTCATATAGTGCTCAGAATATGACTTTCATAAAACTTGTTCAATATCATTAGAGAACTCTAAATCTTAAATACTGAAAGTCACCTCTGATAAGTACAATGTACTATGCAAGATAATGATATAACTGGACTAAAAATACACACAACCTGTAATTAACTGCCTTTACAGTGCTTTCACGCTCATGACGTCACAATAGGAAATTCAGAAGAAACCAAGAAAATTGAATTTCGACCAATAATTTGCTGAGAACAAAGTTTTCTCTAGAGAAGAGAAATATTTTTCTCACACCGATCGAGATATGTGAAAAAAGCATAAAAATTAGAGAAAACAAAGATACTAATATTTATCATATAAATAATTTTCTGTATTATTATTTTTTACATGTTCATCTTTAAAACTTTTCAGAGGCTGCAGTGAAGTGGACCCCACATGATGTAGAGATAGCCTTGTGGACCTATTATACTTTGAAAACTTTAGAACCAGACATGCTGAAATCTGCTATTAAAAGAAAAGCCGATACAGAAGAAAAAAGTCCAGTCAACCCAAGAAGAAGAAAAAAAGAATCTGACTGATAGATAACGTCCATGTTTTTTTTGGATTGCTGTGACCAGTAACAGTCATGCAAATGATTAGATTTGAAGACAGTCAGACACATGTACTATAATTTGTAATCAAATTGTTGAAATTGGCCAGGAGCCTTGTTGTATTCATTTATGTTAGTTAGAAGGCAAAATCAATGCTGCAGTGAGGAATGACCAAGCTTTATAGTAAGTTAGAATCACACTGACAGATAGTCAGATTTACAAATATATTTCCTTGTTTGTGTTATATATCTAACATTCAGATATAATGAGAATTATTCTCTTAACACTGCTCCAGTTATATCATCTAATGGATTTAAAATCAGCTACATGTACCGGTATACAATCTGTTTCAATTTTACCGGGTATATTTATTTGCATGATATTGGCATTTGAAAGCATAAGATTTGTCAAATAAATCTTGCTCAACTAATTTGGTGAATTTATGTTGGTTTTGCTTTGCATCAGACATTAAAGACTTATATCTTTTCTGGTTTTATTTTAATGTTTGTTACTCTCACATTGATGTTTACCTTCAGATCACCTATAGGTATGTAAGCTTCACAAAACTTGCTTTTAACCTGATACAAGATGCTGTGTACAACTTTCTTATTCATGTTATTTATCTAAATTCAATTAAGTTCCAAAATTTTTATTTTTATCATCAGAGGCTCAAATGCTAAGTTATTGAAAAAATTTCTAAAAATGCTTTGTTTTTCAGAAAAACTAAAAACAAATACTCACCTGATGCTATACAAACTGTTCTCCTGGTATAAACCACCCATCAATGTAGACATTAAACCAATACTTGTACCAATTATCCAAGTATAACCAAAACTTGTACCAAATATCCAAGTATAACCAATACTTGTACCAAATATCCAAGTATTATATAAACACTCTGAATATGCACGCCATAAAAGGCTATAATAAATACCAAAGACTTTGTAAAGTGGATAGTCGCACGACAACGCCGATGCTGAAGCTATTTGTTACTATATAATAATATATGGAAAATTGTATAGTCCAAAATGTAAATAAAACAAAAAAGAAATTCATTAATTTCCCAAATTCTGAGAAACGATCATACGTTCTGATAAATCGTCTTTCACATAGTCATTCTTTGAAGTGTCCGACTTCCAACGTCCATGACATTTAAAAAGTCTATCTGGAACACCAAACCTTGCAGCGGCCTTAGCACCACAAGATCGTAAACTATGTAATCCGTATGATTTTATATCGGGAACAAATGGAGAAATGGCATCAATGAAAATTTCCCTCATCTTTGTATAGCTTAAAGGCTTTTTGTTGAATGAAAAACAAATTTTCCTTTCACTTGTGACAAATTCCTGAATAAATACAAATTTGAATCAGATTGAATGCCACTCCATTGCATATATAATTCCAAATTTGGACTAGACGCAAAGTTGTGCCGTTCTTTAAAATAATCAACCAGTTTCCATCTCTGTAAATATTTGTTTTTTCGATAAAAATTGAAATGTGTGACGACTTGCAAATAATATCATAATAACGCAAATTCAACAATTCTGATACACGCATAAAAACTTGGATATCCCAATATACACGCACAAAATTGTACCACAGAAATATAAAGCTATAAATAAGATTTTGTCTGTAAAATATCGTATCGACATCCGAAATGTGGTTGTCATTTCGCCCACTTTTTCCATTGCAAAAATCCAAAGTAGTATTTCTTCACTATGTTGTCCTATTTACTATATGCTAACACATTAGGAATAAAGCCTAATTGACTGTCAAGATCATTTGGTAACTCTGCAATATCGTTTCTGAACACCTGGAAAACATATTCAATAACATAATTTTAAATAAATATGTGGTTCCTTCCAAGTTTTCACATAGTTCATCTATATACCATAGTAATACATAATAGACCAATAAAATTTAAAAATACAATATGCAATAAAAATGTCACCAATACATGAAAACTACCACCAAGTTAATACTAATTGTTAATTTAATGTCTCCCTAAACTCTATTCTAAGAGCCAACACCTTAAATGGTAAATCAATATACCAAAAACCGAGTTATTCCCTCTACCAGGTAAAAAGTTAGCTTTGTTAGTAGGTAGGTAATGTAAACCCATCACCTGGTCAATAAATCTATCTCCTTTGGGACATAAAAACGGCCAGTAATATGCCGATCTCCACAAAGGTAAAATAACAGTACCATATGCCTTGCACTGCTGCATGTATACATAAGGACTTTCAATAATAGGCAAACTGGGGGAACATACTACCCATTTATAACTTGCCAATTGACAGTGAACGCATCAATACCCATTGAGTGTACATTCCAATACCTGGAGTAAAATACAGGTAATCGATGGTTATGATCACTAGCAAACCAATCAATTTCATGAGGACCCCAACAGGGAATCCAAATATTCAAAAATATGTACTGCATTACGGCAGTCATCAGTATTTATGATACGACTTATATAGTCTGCAATTTCATTCTGTGTCCTAGGTATCCATTCAACCTTAAAGAACACTTTGTGCTTCAAACAAGTCACAAAAATACCATATGCAATATCTTGCAAATAAGGCTTCATACTGCCCTTTAATATATGAACAATAATAGAAACAACGTTTTGGTTATCCGTATTTATCTCTCATAAAATCTATCAAAGAATGCAATACACATTTAACAGCCGTAAGTTCTTTTAAAGTAGAACTGTGGAGTACATCGTTTTCATGCCACATGCCATGAGCAATATTCTAAGGACTTTCTACTGAACATCCACCATATCCAGTGCCACTAGCATCACTATAAACAATAGTGTGAAACAAAAAAATGGATACAAAATGTTTAGAATTAACACATTTAAGATTTTCCAGCCAGAATATAAGCTGCTCTTTACTTCGAACCGAAAGTCCAACATTAGATTTCGAAGAATAAGCTGACTTAACATCAATACTAAGGTATTCAGTCATAATATAAGCCACATTCTAATGACATACGACATGGATATAATCTGACCAACGGAAGCTACAGTTCTCACATAAACTTAACCTAAATATTCTGAAAATAGTTTAACTTGCATTATGGTATCAAACAGTTTTGTCAGTCTCTTAACTGGTATGCTTAGGATAGCTTTGTCTGTACATGTATCAATGAACTAATATTAAATATTTCAATGTTTTACTGGGAGACCAAATCGACAAAACCACTTGAACAATAATGTCTTGTTTAACTTATGTGGCAATATCTGTACACGTGCTAATATCAGAATGGGTGCCAAATCCATCACCTATACATGAGAATTGGTTTACCTTCACCTCTTAATTTCTAAATTAGTGGTCAGGTAACTTTAGTCAATATATATTTCAGGCAGAACTTTATCCAAAAGGGAGAACAAGAATAAAATATTTTGTACTTTCATCATATGTCCAGTAAACCCCAAGATAATCAGAATGCGACTCGTATATGTCTATATGGTGATAAGCTGAATGTCAAACTTAAAACAATAACAATCTGTTTATTAGATTGCATAGTTACAATGATATCTCCAAATTTCACAAAGGTGTCTTCCATAGATGTAAATTGACATGACATATATCTAAAATTAAACTTTTTATTACCATTGTTTTGGACAGAGATAGCAAGTGAATTTACAGCCAATGGTTTATCATCAGTAGCTTCAATAATAAATCCTCTAATCAAAAGATCTTGAGACTTCAATAGCTTATAAAAACAAAATCACTGTGTGTAATAGCAGAACGATTGTTTTGTAAACAAACGGAACGCCGTGTAGTATAAAAATTTGTAAGGGTTCCGCGGAACCCAGTGTCTCGCCTACTTTTTCTGTTAATTGCAGGCTCAACAAAAATGAGGAAGTAAATCAATAAAAATATTCCACTTGATACTATCTTTTGATTGTAAGAAGCTTCTGTCCAAGTTTGGTAAAAATCAAGGATAGTTTATGAATCTAATAAATGTTTAAAAACTTTAACTGCAGACTGAATGTAATGTTAACTGGAAGAAAACAAAATTTCCTTCTAGATACTAGCATTTGATCATAAACAAGCTTCTGTCCAAGTTTGGTACAAATCAAAATAGTATAAGAAAGTTATTATTGCGAACCCAATGAAAGTTTTCCACAGTGCCATCTCTATCTTGACCAGGTATTTAAACTTTTGCAAGTTCACCTGTCCTATTGAATAAATAAAATAGCTATTGTTCTCTGTGTAGTTTATTCTCTGGGACCTTTAAATTTCTTCTAAGAGAAATCTATCATTCATTGATTAAATTACCTGAGTAAAAAAAAATTCTTATATATAGACAAAAATACTTTTTTTATACTCATTAATTGCGTGTGATGATGTATTTGTTCAATATTAATAATATATTTTCATTCAGTTTAATATGAACATTGATTCAATCATAAAAAGTTGATTTCTAACAAAAGTTTTATCAATGTTCCTATTGAAATTTGATTTTTTTTTTGTTTAGTTATAGAATACATTTAAGAAGATCTTAATTTCAAACATCATTATTTTCAAGTTCTTATTCATGTCAAACAAATTTTTTTTTAAAAGGAACAATGTTGAAAGTTTTGTCAGAAATCAACTTTTTATGATTGAATCAATGTTTATATTAAACTGAATGAAAATATATTATTAATATTGAATAACTACATCATCACACACAGTTAATGAGTATAAAAACAGTATTTTTGTCTATATATAAGAAATTTTTTTTACTCAGGTAATTTAATCAATGAATGATAGATTTCTCTTAGAAGAAATTTAAAGGTCCCAGAGAATAAACTACACAGAGAACAATAGCTATTGTATTTATTCAATAGGACAGGTGAACTTGCAAAAGTTTAAATACCTGGACAAGATAGAGATGGCACTGTGGAAAACTTTCATTGGGTTCGCAATAAAATTTTAAAAACTTTAACCACAGAGTGAATGTGTTGTTTCCTGGCAGAAAATCTAAGTCCATTTAAAAGTAAAATACGGAAAAAATAGATTTATTTTTTTACAAAATTCTTTCTAGATACTAGCTTTTGATCATAAAAAAGCTTCTGTCCAAGTTTGGTACAAATCCAAAATAGTATAAGAAAGTTATTAAAATTTTAAAAACTTTAACCAAAGAGTGAATGTGTTGTTTCCTGGCAGAAAATCTAAGTCCATTTAAAAGTAAAATAAGGAAAAAATGGATTTATTTTTTTACAAAATTTACTTCTGGATACTATCTTATGATCATAAACAAGCTTCTGTCCAAGTTTGGTACAAACCCAGGATAGTTTAAGAAAGTTATTAAAATTTTAAAAACTTTAACCACAGAGTGAATGTAATATTTCCCGGCAGAAAAACTAAGTCCATTTATAAGAAAAATACGGAAAAAATGGAATTTTATTTTTACAAAATTTACTTCTAGATACTATCTTATGATCATAAACAAGCTTCTGTCCAAGTTTGGTAGAAATCCAGGGAGGT